AAGGATGCAAGAGTTTCTGCTAGTGGGTTTTTATGCAATGAGTTAGTAAAAGCGTCGTTACTCTATTCTACGAAAACGTCTAAGAATGGGAGTTTATTTTATATATATATATATATATATATATATATATATATATATATATATATATATATATATATGTATATTATGAAATGGACAAAGTCCGACAATTATTTTAAGACATTTTATGTTTAAACATTCTTTTTATAGATAGAAATATTTAAGTAAATGCTCTTTTTATAATAAGCAGTATTAACAACATTTACCGGCCTGAATGTCCGAGAAATTTTTCATCAGAAATATTCGTCCTCCGACAGAAATCGAACCTGTATCCTACACGGTACCGTCATATAGCCTGACGTGCCTTTTGCCACAGAAGAGAGTTCAGTTGGCAAAGTCGAATTTACTGCCTTTAAACTTCAATTTTCCATGAATATCTCACGTACATTCATATCTGCTCAAAGTGTAATCAAATGTAAACAAATGACGTCACACATTATGAAATGGACAAAGTCCGACAATTATTTTAAGACAATTTTATGTTTATATATTCTTTTTATAGATACAAATATTTAAATATTTATCTGTGGCCCAATCGGTTAAAGGTCCGTCAGGCTATATGAAGGTTCGTATAGGTTCGATTCCTGTCGGAGGACAAATATTTTCTAGGAAAAATTTCTAAGACATTCAGGCCGGTAAATGTTTTAATACTGTTTATTATAAACAGAGCATTTACTTAAATATTTGTATCTATAAAAAAAGAATGTTTAAACATAAAAATGTCTTTATATATATTTATATTCTTTTAAAATATAGTTGTAATGGAATTGGTGGGTAGAACAATATATTCTGATTCGTTGGGTTTGTCAGGAATGGCGGCTTTTCTATTTTGAAAATTTTATGTGTTTTTTCTTTCGTATTGTATACGAAATAATTCGGATAATGGAGGAAATTAATCAATTTCAATGCGTTCCTTCACTTCATGTAAATACTGAGGACGACAGCAATAGCCTAAAACTTAGTTCACGTCGTAAATCAACAAATAAAAATGATAATATAAATCTTTCTTCTAATCCTTACAAAATAAAATCTGGAATATTCATTCTACGAAAACGTCTGCGGATGAGAGTTTATTTTTTGACTTCATTCGTAGGTAAAGTTAAGGACAGTTTTTTTTTTTTTTTTTTCAAATATGGTTTCTTGTGTTATTCGCTAAAATAAAAATATCATCTACGTAGCGGACATGTATTTTGGGTTTAGTGACCTGTTTAATGATCATCTTTTCTACGTGAGACATGTAATAATTGGAAAAGCATGGGCCTAGTGGACTTCCCATACTAACACCATTAGCTTGGGTGTACATGACGCCATTATGGTCGTAGAAGGGGACTTTTTGCATGCATGTAATATATTTTTGAGGATATTTTGTTTGATGGATGAAAGTGGAATAGAATTATTTGTGTAAACAGAAATATGGATAATATGAAAGATTCGATCAACGGGGATCTTTGTGAATAAATTTCCAACCTCGAGTGACGCTAAAATACCTGGGGTCGGTATTTGCGGAATTCGTGGGTAGATATGATGCTGAAATTGGTGACTAGGTACCATGTAATGATATATATATATATATATATATATATATATATATATATATATTATAATTATTTTTTTATTAATATGATTCCATCGCTACATAGGAATTACCATGTTTCTAAACCAGAAGCTAAAATCTTCCAAAATAGAAATTAAATTAAAATACCTAGTTCTGTTTGATTCTCATGCGAATTTTGGAATAACTAATTTAGAAATTTACGGAGCTTTATAAGCATATACATTCCTAATATTAGTTTCTATGGATATGGAGAAAACCAATCATTTAGAAAAATCTTTATGTATACAAATAGAAATTTAACGACGTAGCAAAAGTGCCAAAAACTTTCTGTCGTTGAAATAAACCAGACGATATACAATGAACGGATGTCATCATTCGTTTGAAAATAGGCACCCCGACCTTACCTTGGCTTCACCTTAGTTGGTATTATACCTTTTTTTTGAATTTGGAGGAATTCGTGTGTGGTGTAAATAGTGGATAGGTATGAGATAATGATGCCATTAAGTAATTCGTAGATAGAGGTTTGGATCTGGGAAATGATTGTAGCGGGTATCCGGATATATGTATTTTGATATTTCCGTTTAAATATCCAGGTTGATAGTGTTCGATGATTTGGGGGATTTTTAGGGGCCCAACGTCGGCGTTATTCGATGTTATGAGTTTGTTGAAGGATCTTTTTAGGGTCTCCGTGGTGTCCCTGTTTCATTTGATGAATTTAAATCCGTCATCAATGACGTTTTGTAATTTTTTAGGGTCATCGGTTTTATCCATTTGGACAGATTTTACACACTTTGTGGCCAGAAAATAAAACACTTGCACGAACCCAAGAAAAATTAACTAAAATTTCTTGTCAATCACCGATAAATTTAATATATCCAAAATATAAAATACAATCTTGTACTTTAAACCTAATTTAAAATGATTGGAAGAAACTGTTTTTCGAAATTCCTAATTTTTTTATTTGGGCGCCATTTTTAGGAAAGTGTTTATATTTGAAAATTCGGACCAGAAAATCTACTCTGAATCGAAAAGTAACAAACGCAATAAAACTAAGACATTATTTAGTTGGAGAAAACTTTTAATTGGTTTTATGAATATTATATATTAAGAACAGTATTGGCTTCCGAAAAAAGATCGATGAAAAATGAATTTTCAAAATTTATTTTCTTTTTTATTTTAATTTTAATTATAATAATTTATAATATTTTTAAATCATTTAAAATCTATTTCCACTGGCATAACTCTTAGGAAATATTAAGTAAAACTATATTTACTAATCATATTTATATGTGTAAAAATGTACCGAATTTTATAGATATGGTCGCCCATAAGCGACACTATCAGAAAATAAAAGCAACACCTATAGTTAATGTAGAAACAGAATTCACAAAAATACAATAAAACATGAGGTTATGGAGAGAATGTTCTTAAAATCTTTAAGATTACAAAGTATTTAAAAGGTGTTCGTGTTATATTCCTCAAGTATTTTTTAAGGTTAAAGCTCCCATAGAACAAAACAATCTAACAGAGCCGTTACAAACCTGTCAACATAAATAAACAAGCCACGGTTCAACCTGAAAAATGCATTTCTCTGATGTTTTAAAATTTAAGAAAATAAGAGTTGTTTCAAATCAGATTTATTATACTTTAAATCTGTTAATATTCCACAAATAAAGTTTCAGAAAATTATATTTTTATTTTTTGAAGAATTCTTTTTAATAAAGAGACTTGTATTTTTTTCTTAAAAATGGTGGCCAAATAAAAAGAAAAACTTATGAATTTCGAAAAACAATTTCTTTCAATCAATTTAAATTAGTATTGAAAAACAAAATAGTATTTTGTTTATTGGATATATAAACTTAATCCGTCAGCTTGAAATTAAAATTATAATGAAAGCTTCAAGAGAGATTTTTCATTATTAAAATTCATTTCAAACGTCAGGTATCACGTTTTCGGGGAAATCTATCTATCTATCTAGCTAGCTATATATATATATATATATATATATATATATACACAATGAACGAACATTATCTATCAGTTCAAATG